CATGGAAGTGACGCGAATAACATGTTCTCTAGTTCTATGTTGCTCGTTGTGGAGAAATTCCTCACTTTTAGTCAGGAACCTCCAACTCCTCCAGGTACAACACTGAGGTCATGAACTAGTTATAGCCTGGAAAACTCTAACGCTGTTTGACACATTAATACACTGTGCCAACCCCTCTCAGCACCGATGTTTTTCAAAACAAAATTGTAGAACAAACAGTAGGAATTAAAATAGGAATTTAGGTGAAGGCATTCAGCTTCACTAAACTATAAATCTACAAGCAATAGATGGGACCACTAATCAATTTCTGGTAAAGGCATAAAATAAAGTGTTGTAGAAAAAGAAATGTAGGATTAAGTAACGGCTGGACCCCCTTTGGAGCCACTACAGTAATGGGGTAGCTTCCAGTTTGATCCCATGCCAACCTAACTAGTCTTCCAAAACTATACGATGTGTAAATTTTACAATAATTACAACAATGTTGTATCAACTTGGAGATATAAGGGACGAGATTCGATTAAGGTCTATTTTATAAAAAATCATATTATTTAATGACACAGAAGTAATTTGTAGTATTCGAGAATATTTCAATGTTTGTTTATTGTAACACCAAAATACAACATACTGCAAATGGCTGTTTGTAGGATATTGTTGTGTGCGAAATTGCCTACTGCATTCACCTCTAAATTACACAATCATTAACAACAATAACAACAGCAACAACTTGGATTTATATAGCGCCCTCCATGCCGGATGGTGTCTCAGAGCGCTTTACAGTAACGGATCCCGGGACCGAGCCAGGGGGAGGGGGAGGAAGGTGACCAAAGGCGCGGTCAAAAAGAATGGTCTTCAGCAGAGACCTGAAGACAGGAAGGGAGGGAGTGAGGTGAAGGGAGTAAGGACGGGAGTTCCAGAGCCTCGGGACATAGTGGCTGAAGGTACGGACGCCAAGGGAGGAGTGGAGGACTCAGGGGACGAGGAGGAGGCCAGACTCGGAGGAATGAAGGCAATGGGTACTGTTTTGAGAAGAGAGGGGGTCAGAGAGGTGGGGAGGTGCAGAGGAATGCGAGAGCTTGAAATTGACCCTCTCTAGGATAGGCAGCCAGTGCAGTCTGTCGAGACTGGGGTAATCGGGGAGTGGAGTTTCGTGCGGGTGAGAATGCGGGTGATAGCGTTTTGAATGATTTGAATTTTATGGATGGTAGTGGATGGGAGACTGGCGAGGAGGGCATAAGAATAGTCCAGCCGAGAGATGACAAATGCATGGACCAACATTTCAGCAGATATTGGAGTGAGATATTGGCAGAGACGGGCGATGCGTCAGAGATGGAAGAAAGCAGTGCTGGTGAGGGAACGGATGTGGGGGAGGAAGGATAATTGGGGGTCGAACCTGACGCCTAGGTTGCGTGTGGGTTCGGAGAGTTTTAGGGGGAGGTCGGGTAGATGAAGGAGGTGAGAGCCATGAGATGTTAGACGTTGACGAGAGCCAAAGAGGATGGCTTCTGCTTGTCAACGTTCAGTTGAAGGAAGTTTGCTCTCATCCAGCCCCTGAGATCTGATAGGCAGGCTGAGAGAAAATCAGAGGACTGGGGTTCGCAAGAGAGGTGGAAAAATAGAGTTGGGTGTCATCCGCATACATGTGGAAATGTACCCCATGTCTGCGGATGACATCCCCAAGAGGGAGCATATAGATCAGAAAGAGGTGGGGGCCAAGGATGGATCCTTGGGGTACCCCACAGGTGACCGGGTGAGAGCGGGAGGAGAAGTCATTTGTGCAGATGTACTGCTGGCGGTTTGTGAGGTAGGACTCGAACCAGGTGAGTGCGGTCCCACTGAGGTGGATGACGGAGGAGAGGCGGTGGAGGCGTGATCAACTGTGTCGAACATGGCGGAGAGATCCAGGAGGACAAGGAGGCAGAGGGAGCCCTGGTCACAGATTGAGAGGAATATCATTTGTGACTTTCACAAGCGCAGTCTCTGTACTGTGGGCAGGGCGGAAACCGGACTGGAGGGGTTCGAAGAGGGAGTGGGAGGAGAGGTGTGTGTGAAGTTGGTTGGCAACAACGTGTTCCAGAGCTTTTGAGAGGAAGGGCAGGTTAGAAATAGGGCGGTAGTGGCTGGGGTTTGAGGAATCTAGGGAGGGTTTTTTCAGGAGGGGATGATGACAGCAGTTTTGAGGGAGGCAGGGAACGATCCGGAGGAGAGGGACTGGTTGATGACATCAGCCAGTAGTGAGCAGAGGAGGGGGAGCTGGGTGACCAGTAAGTTGGTGAGGAGGGGGTCGAGGTGGTGGGTTTCCTGGAGGTGATGGTGGGTGAGAGGGAGGAGGGAGAGATAGGGAGGAAGGAATGTAGAATGGGGGTGGTGGTAGGAGCAGATGATGAGGAAGGTGAGGGGGACAGAGAGGGCGTGGTGGTGGGTGACAAGGGGCAGGTGGATGAGGCTGCCTGGCGGATGTTAAGTATTTTAGATGAAAAGAAGTCTATGACCTCCTTGCATTGGCATTGATACGAAGATTGAGGAGGCCTGAGGGTGGGCACGGAGGAGGTAGTGGGTGGTGGATAAAAGAATTTTAGGGTTGTGTTTAGCATCCAAGATGATGTTGGAGTAGAAGGTTGTTTTTGCGCGTGTCAAACAACGGTGGTAGCTGTGGAGATGCTCGAGGAACAGTTGGCAGTGAACTGTCAGGCCAGTTTTCCACTATCTGCGCTCGAGCAACCGGGTTTGGGTTTTTGGTGGCAGAGATGGTTGTTGTACTAGGGGGATCGGGTGGGTTTGGAGATGGTCCTGGATTTTAGGGGGACGAGGGAGTTGAAGGTGGAGGAGAGGCGATCATGTAGCAGCTGGACGGCTGCTTCAGAATCTCCGCGGGTGAAAGGCCAGAGAAATAGGATATTTGATGACAAGAGAGCCTTTGTGAGGGTCTCAGGGGGTAGCCTTTTCCAAGGGCGGTAGAGGATGGTTGAGGGCTTGGTGGAGGAGAGGGGGATGTGAGAGCAGAAGGAGATGAAAAAGTGGTCCGAGATGGCCTTGTCCACTATGCTGAGGTCAGAAATGTCAAGGCCATGGGTGATGACGAGGTCAAGTGCATGACCACGGTTGTGGGTGGGTGAATTTATGTGAAGGGTGAGGTTTAGGGAGGAGAGGAGGGCAGTGAAGTTGGCAGAAGTGGTGCAGGGGGAGTTTAGGTGGAGGTTGAAGTCGCCCATTATGAGTAGGCGTTCGGAGCAGAGGGACAGGAAAGAGAGGAGAGTAGAGATGTCTGTGTGGAAGGAGCCAGGGGGCTTAGGAGGGCAGTAGAAAAGGAGGATTTTCAATGGGAGAGAGGGGTGGAAGAGGGTGAGGTGCTTTGAAGGAGGGGAAGCAGCCAGAGGAGGAGGGGGTAAGTCCAAGGGAGGCTTTGGAAATGAAGGCCACCCCACCACCATGTTGATTTGAATGGGGCATGTGGTGGAAGGTCTAGCCTGGAGGGAAGGCTTCCACCAGGGGTGCGGGGTCATTGGTGGAGAGCCAGGTTTCGGTGAGCCCAAGAATGTCAAGGTGCTCATCCAGGATGAGGTTGTGGATGGTGAGGGTTTTGTTTGAGAGGGAGCGGACATTTTGGAAGGAAATGCGGGTGGGTTTGCTGGAGGGGGGGGAGGAAGGAAAGAATGGTGCGGAGAGGAGTTTGGGTTGTATAGGAGTGATGGTTGTGGAGAGTGGTGTGAGTGGAGAGTTGGGGAGGACACGTATGGGGGAAGGGGGTGTTTGGTTTGCCTTAAGGAGACGGTTTGAGCAGAGGGAGTGAATGGTTGGACACTTGGGGTTGCTGCTCTGCGATAGCCAATGCCGGGAGCCACGATGAGCCCGGCAGAGGATGCCCAGGCTGGAGCAGAGGGAAGTGGTGATGGGGTCGAGGAGAGAGAGAAGCCGGGGAGGGCGGTGGGAGAGAAGGACAGAGGGTGATTCGCGGATAGAGGGTCGTGGGAGGAGAGACATAGAGCGGGGTGAGAGGAGAGACATAGAGGGGGACGAAGGAGAGACATAAAGGGGGGCAGGAGAACAGACATTTGCAGTGGAAGGGGAGGCTTGGGTCGGGGCGGCAGCCAAAACGCGCACACAGAGACCGGGAGCGGGACGGCATCAGCCCTCAGGCTCAATCTCCCAGGTCAAGTCCGGGATTACACTCTGTGTAGACGTTAGAGATGCCATTCCAACGTGAAAGACACTAAATCAATGTAAGGATTATTATTGTGATTAGAAAGTAAAAATAAGAGGCTAGAACTTACCAAAGGGAAGCTGAAAGATTCCTAGAGTTATCATTCACCATGTCCAAACAATATGAAGAATAGTAAACAAGGCAACAGAGTGTTCGGATACATTGAAATTCAGTTCTGTTCAGATGCCCAGAATTCTTGTTGAAGCCATACAATGCTCTGGTTAGTCCGCACTTGCAGTGCTGAGACAGTTCATAAGAAAGCAATCAGAATAGCTGTGTTGGACAGATAAGTTATAAAGCATGATTAGATAAACTTTACTCTCAGAGGGAACCACAATAAAATTTGTTTGTCAGCCTGGCTCAGTTGTTGCACTCTCACCTCTGATTCAGAAGATCGTGGATTCAAGCCCCACATCGGGACTTGGAATAACATAGTCTTAGCTGACACTACAATTGCTGGGAGTGTGTTGTATTGTCGAAGGTGCAGTCCTTCTTTAAAATACAATTATATAATAATCCTTGCATTTGATATTGCGCCTTATCACATCTTCAAGAAGTCTCAAAGCACTTCACAGAATATACTAAAAAGTGAATAGACTGTATATTTTCTGGGCGAAACTCAGCAGCCAATTGCGGACAGCAGTGTCACACAAACAGTCGTGGATTGAAGTGACCAATTTATTAAATTTTTTTAAGGAATTATTAACCTCAGAAAAACAATCCGCTAATCGATTAACAACCGGATTCCTACTTACTACTAGGTAAACAGAGGCATGTGGAGTAAGAAAACATGCCCAACATTTCACCCTGCTGGGAATTGAACCCAGGTCTCTCATTTTTGATGAAATGCTCTAACCACTGAGCTACAGGACTCCACAGGTATTTATAATAATCCTTTGGTTTTCATAACATAGCAGCTCATCGTGTTGTCGAGATGTCTCAAAGCAGTTCATAAGATTGACTGTAAAGTATAGTGGGTGTCTGTTTGCAGAGTATACTGCAGAATGGATCTCTTTCATGATCCTCACTTTCATGTGCAAATCACTTCTTGTTCTGGCACCTCCCTACCTCTCCAAACTGCTTACAACCCCCTCTTCTACTCATCCCCATTGAAGCAGAAACTGTTGATTCTTTTAAGAACAAATTAGATAGATTTCTATTAAGAAACAATATCTTGGAATACTGTATATAGGTTGGGACATGACATATGCATGGATCTCAACATTCCCAGTAATCTGGCTGCCTGTCAACTCATGAGCTGTCAATATTTCTGAGTCAAGGGGAGAAAAATCAGATTAGATTGATCAGTGAAACTCTTTGCTTTGACATTCATCCTCAGGAAGTGACGAAAGTTGTACACATTTTGCATAGTATTCCTCCTCTAGAGAAATCGAACATTTAATATTTTCCCATGTTACTTTGAGCTGAGATTGTTGGTCTATTGCAGCTTTGAGATGTATGTTAGAAAAGCAGTTATAAACTTTGTTTTCAGTGGCTGAAGAGTCCCTTTTATGTAGTTCATGACACACTATTCACATATGTGCCCTGGTTCTCCATGAAGGTTCCTGGTATTAATATCTGCCTTGTATGACTGTTACCACTATCATTTCTTATCTGCAATAGGTGATTGGAATTGCTTCATGGTAGCAAATATACCAACAGGCTATACCAATGAAATCCTAATCCTTTGAAGGGGATTCTTTATTGTTCTCTGTCTGTCTGTCTGTCTGTCTGCCTGTCTGTCTGTCATTCTCTAAGTCACTCTCTCTCTCTCTCTCTCTCTGCCTGTGTTTCTCTCACTCAGTCTTTCTGTCTCTCTTTCTTCGAGTTTCTCAATCTTTCTCTCTCTGAGTCTCTCTTTCTTTCTCAGAATCTCTCTCTCTCTGAGTCACTCATTTTCTTTCAGTCGATGACTTCATCTGTATATCTATTGCATCTCTTTTTCTGCCTCTAAGAAACATATAAAGTATACCTTCTCTCTCCCAGCAAAACAAAATCCAGTTATGCTAATACACTCAAAATGACTACAGGCACAATCTTGCTACACAGAACAAGTAAACCATGTCCCAAGTAAGCAAACACATATGCACAACTGCATGTCCAATTCTATTGCCTTGGGATTCTGTCACTCTAGCTAATAGGAACAGAGTGAAGGAAGCTTAGCCTCCCTAATCTCGAATGATAGCCCTCTTCTGGTCCACTTCATGTGCTGGTGCTGTCTCATTTTGGGAGAGAATAATAATAATAATCTTTGCATTTCACTTAGCACCATATCACGTCTTTGAGACTCCCCAAAGAGCTTCAAAGAATACATTGCGATGTAAAACGACTGTATATTTTGTGGGTGAAATAATTTCAGATGGTATGTGTATTATCAGTTCTCCAGCCTTCTTCTGATTTGTTAAAAGTAAAATGATGTTTCTGAGGTATCCTTCAAATTCCTTTCACACCTCAGTAGCAAATCTGAATGTACACCAAATTACAATGATTACCATTCCTCTGTGGATTCTGTGAAATCTCACTTTTTTGTGTGTGCATAGTTTGGTGGATTTGGAGTGGAGCATTTTATACTCCATACAATCAGATTATTAGTAATAAGTCACTGGATATTTACATGGCGCTAGTTTGGCGGGAGAAGAACTGATATTTACTTATAAGATTGTTAATGAAAATAATGCTGAATGGTAAAAGTATACATTGGAATACATTAGAATATACAGCATAGAAACAGGCCTTTCGGCCTATCTGGTCCACGCCGGTGTTTATGCTCCACATGAATCTCCTCCTGCCCTTCCTCAACTAAGCCTTCAAGCATAGCCTTCCAATTAGTAGTTCCTAACATTTTAGTAGTTACTAACATTTGTGGGAGTGTAGGTGGTGCTGCAGTAAAGTGACCTTAAAATGTTAACTCACAATCGACTGGATCTTACTACAAAATGCTGAAACCATTTCGGTCTACTGAGACAACAACCCTACACCATGAAAGGTTTGAAGTTAATTGTTCAAGACTACATGTTTACACACAAACAAAACATCACAGGAAATCACCGATAAGTACATCCACATGTCTATGAGCTATTTAGAATAAAGACTTAATTGGAACATTAAGTGTCAGGAATTTCCTGACTTCATCACAGCAAAGCAAATACAAGTTGCAGTTATTACTCCAGTTATGAACCACATGTGAGAAATAATGTTCCATCCACTAATATTCCATAATTTTGAAATGTTTTTTTTCAGTTAGTCATCTGGACCTTCCTAGTCACAAGAGCTTACATTTAGCCTGGAACACCTTGTCTTCTTCATGACCTCTATCTCATGCCATGTTCTCTGTATTGAGGATCAGGAAGTATAATGTCAATTGTAACACCTTCTGTTGTGCATTCAGATTTACAGTCAAATGCGATTCTGTTTTTTAGTGGTACATTTCACAACATACAGCTTTTTAGAGCAGTCGTTGACATCCTGTTTCACATTTTATAACAGTTGTTGAACTTGCATGGTTTATGGTGCAAAATATTGAATTTATAAGTAGGTTTATTAAATTAGCACATTAGTGACATTTTGGCTAACTTGCCATTAGATACTAGAAACATCACCCAAAGAACAAAATGTGAAAGCATTTATTTTTCACCAATTCCCACACCCCCAAAATATATTTGTATTAAGAATGAAAAATGCAAAACATTCATTGACTTACATGTTCTATCCGAGTGTGCTATTTAGTTATGAATTTATTGTTGAATCATCTTCATCCATCTCCATTAGTCTCTCCTGTTGCTATAACCATCTGAAAGGGAGAGGATGATAAGACACAAGAATATGTCCTAGGGTAAGAGTGAATTAAGATCAATCAATGAAGATGCATCAACCTCTAAGCAAAATCCACGAGTACAGGAACTCACAAACATGTGTTGGATCACGTAGCCGAAGTTCTGCAACTCCAGCAGTAACAAAGGGGGCAAGTCAGTCACAAAAGATGGATCCTGGCACTTTGATATTCACATTGTCTCAGAGTCCGTTAATCATTACCAGATCAAAACAAATTTGTGCCAGTGTGCAGTCTGATGACACCCAGATGTGCACTGAGATAGAGAAGGTTGGCTCTTAGCTATGCTCATCACACTGATGTGAAACTGTAACCATTCTTCCTTTTGCTCTGTGGTGTTCCTGTTCAGGGATGCCTGCAGAACCAGAGTTTCAATTGCATCTTTGATTGTTTAATATCAGTGACTAAATGCTTCCATCTAACTTTCCTATGCTGTTTATGTGTACTGTGTACATGACTTAATAAAAGTTAAAGAATATGATGCCCATTGGAAAGATGGTCATTGGGAAGATGTCTCTTACATCAACCTTTTCCTTGGAAGCAGTCTGCCTTCTTTAGCCAGCAGTGATCTATTTAGTTATGTTTTAATCTCAGGCTCAGCACATTTCAAATAATTGATTTGTCTCCAGCAGTTCACTGCATCACACTGGGATTTAAAATTGACAATTGATTTCAAATTCTCATCTTGGTTCACTAATCCATTCATTTAAATATGATCGGTATTTCACTCATGTAAATAAATATGTCATGTCAACAGAAATTCTACTACAACGCTATCTATGTCTGGAGCAGAGTACCCTTGGATTAACAAGAATTGTAGTTTGAAATAGCCTCTAATTTGTGGCATTAGGAAATACTGGAAATTAAACCCCATTTGTGTGTTAGCTGTTTCAGTGATCACAATATAGTTCTCAAATTTTTTAGACCGTCTAACTCTATCCCTTTAGTATCTTACAATTTAGTTGGATTTGAATCATCACCTTAAAATTATAGGTAGATGTTTTGCTCAAAACCTGTACATATTTTATTTATTGACAGTTTTCAGCATCATTCCATTTTGCACCTCTGTATTACTCCAATTTGTGGACTTCCCTTAATCTGTGGTCATCCTTTGTCAGTTCCTCTTGCCAATGTTTTTGACCACTCTAGTCAGACAAGAATAATGCCAAGATCCACATAATCCTTCTGTTCTGCCTGAATTTCGAGTGCAGAATAAAATGTAAACAACTATTATCTGGGGGTTCTGTAGCTTGTCTCTCAATTCTCATTATCAGTTGATTCAGCTCTGCTCATGGGATCCTTGACAGTGCCTCCAAACTTGTGTGCATTTGCAGAATTGCACTCAGTTATCTAACTCCAGTTATCTAAAAAACAATGTGTAATATTATTTTGAGGATTGAGTTATTTTCTTAATTCCAGCACAAGGAATGAAGTTCTGGTTTACAAGACTTATCTAGAGAGATGACGACTGAGAGGGGATCACATAGAGGTCAGCACAATTTTAAATGGGATTAAAAATGTGAACCCAGATCAATATTGGAGGATGTACCAAGAGCGTAGAACAAGAGGACATAGGTTTAGAGTTGCAAAGCATCATTTCAGAACAGACAGATGAAGTTTTTCTTTACTCAGAGAGTAATAAATGACTGGAATAGGTGGTCAGGAAAGGTGGTAGAGGCCAGGACACTTGAAGCTGGGTAGGATGGGTATTCTGGAAGGATGAGATCAGATAAACCGAAGGGCCTTCTTCAACCAAACCAATCTTGTGATCTTGTGAGTAATATAGATCTATATAACAAAAGTATTTATTCCATTTTGAATCCAAAGCCAATGCCTTGCTGTATTGTGGAATATAGTTTGGCTTTGCAAGTGCAGAGAGTTTCCAGGATAGATAGTGAACCACAGAAATTCAAAGGCTGTTCCCTCAGGTGAGAGATAAGTACAATACTGTGCATGCCCTAAACCTGGAAGAGAATTCCCCACTGAACATTTCCTGAGACTGGAGAAAAGAACATTTTTGTGTAACATATGATGATAAAGTCAT